ATGGCTCATCAGATGCAGGCATGCTCTACTTAGAAAACTGTCTTCTGATGTTTAATATTAATGCTTCTACAGACTGCTTTCATTGTACCAATTAGAAAAGGAAAAATAATGCAACTCTCCAGTTACAGCATAAGGAGTCATAAAGTATATGTAAATGTAGTCTTGTGAAATGAGATAATGTAAATGTAAACTGGAACCCCACAATATCAAAAAATAATGGATCCCATAAGCAAAGTACAGGCACACCCATACCAGAGAACTGCAAAATTCAGAAGTTACCAACACTGACCCATGCCAGTATGCCCATGCAAGGCAGAGCCAGAAGGGTGTACCAACAGATAAAATTAGTGTAATCTCAGCACTATGATCCCCAATATTTCTAGTTGTAGAGCTGCACAAAACCAGGTCAATCATCTCTGAAAACTGATTATCATCATCTTGCCTTGGATCCATTACTCACAAATATTTAATTTGTGATTCATCTTTTACTCTTGGTTATCATCTTCTTGGCAGTAGTGGACAATTCCCTGTTTTTCTGTATTTAAAAATACAAACCAACTAAAGGAAAAAAAATAAATGATCTAAAACCAATCATGTCCCAGTTGACTAAACTTGCATTCAAGTTTTACAGTTAAGGGTGAGAGGGCAAAGGTCTTCAGGTCCAGCTAAGCTTCTCAAATAAAACTGTTAACATAATTTCAATGTAACTCATGCTTTCTTCAGTCCAGAATATCCAGGAAGCTTGCTCACTTCCTTTAGGGTTACACTCAACCACTCCACTTAGAAGTCAAGCCTAAACCTCTAAGCTTTACTCTCCTTGCAAGCCTGTCTTCAAAAGGTCACCTGCCTAATAGAGCTTCATCCCAACCTCTTAGGAAAGCTCAGTCTTTCATCTCAGCTATTTGCCTTTTGTTTTGTTTTTCTACATTCTTGGTTTTAAGTACAGACCACAGAATCACCTGATTCATGCCCACAAAAAATTGCCCAGGAGACTCCCAATTGTCATTAATTAAAACACGTTGTGTAGGGATAAGCAACCTATGGGGAAGGTCTAGATGTAGCTGGATTACACTTCCTGACATTACTTCACGATGGGAATCCAACAAAGTCACTACATTTTCAGAAAGCAGCATACAGCCAAACTGACTATTTTCTCTGGCCCAGATTATAAAGGCCACGATTAGCCTTCAGAATCACTTGTAGTTATACCAATGATTTATTTTATACAGTGGGAACAGGATTAAAGACATTCAAACAGATAATAATAAAAACAATTAACAATTGTTTAACAATTTAATTAACAATTAAAATAATAAAAACAATTAACACCAAGAAGGCCTTTAAATTCTTTTTTTTTTTTTTTTTTTTTTTTACGCCTAACACTGCTTTAAAGAATCACCAATCTTTACCACCTAGCACCAGGTAGTTCATTAGGATACTGTTACTATCACTGTGCTAATGTACTATCTGCTATTTGAAAAAAAAAAAAAAAAAGTTAAAGAAAAAAAGACACTCCTTACAAAGAACAAAAAAAAAAACCAACAACTATCAGACAGAGCACATAGCAGTCAAGAATCTGCCACTTACACTATCATCTATGATATTTTTCCAGTCGTCTGACCTTCATTAAAATTTTTCAACCCAGTCAAGTGATTAAAGTGCTGAAAGGTCATTTAGCACTTTCTATGCCTTAAAGGCACTCAGTCACACTTTGTGCTGCGGAGAGTATTTGTCTTCTCGCAGAGTGTTTAGCGCTACAGAGATGGCAGCCAACATTGTCATGATGAACGAGTTGTTCATTTCTCTTACGTCACTCGTACTTTATTTCTAAAAGCTTCTATTAGATGATTATTTTCTTTTGTTTGTTGACTATAGTGAAAGACAAATCTTGTTCAAATTATTGATGAAAGACTTCATAGATTGAGTCAGTATTCTCATATTCTTTCACTAGCAGTTTATGTAAGCTGACACAGGGATTTTTCTGGTCACAGTGCCTGCGATTTAATATACTTTTACAAATATTTATATTTTGCATTCTCAAAACCATCACAAACAATAGTTTTCTGCTACAGCTAGCACACTATTAAAAATAAAACCACATTTCCTACGACAGCAAACTGGCATTCTCAGGATTAGCAAGCAATGTCCTCATTACTGGACCACTCCACCAAATCAGACAACAAACATCTCTGAGCTGGAGCTAGCTGCTGTGGGGTCATTACTTAAGAAATGCAAACCCTATACTGAAATGAATGATCATGAAGATTCAAGGCCAGACCTGACGATCCTTATGTTCTGTTTGAGCTTAAAATGCCTATCGTGGATGAATCAGTATCAGTTTACACAATGTATTCAGCTTTAGATATCTAGGTTACTCAAATGCAATTGCTTCATGTGCGAAGCCTGGGGTAGTTAACTGGCCATCAAAAAAGCAACACCTGATTTGATATTTCTAACTGTATGTTTAAAAGAGGTTATAATAATTTTATTTTTGTTTTGTTGTGTTTTTTTTGTTGTTTTTTTTTGGGGGGGTTATTTTGTTTCAGTACAGGCTGGCCATATTACATGAAGAATCCTAAGCTGAAGGGTCGTTATTATTTCTTGTCTCAAGGAATGTTATAGATATTATTATAAGAGCTACTGTACTTGGAAATCATCCCATGGAATGTAATCATTATGAAAGGGTAGTAAATACCAACTCTGAAAGGTGAATCAGTTGTGTCAATAGTTTTTTTTTTTTTAAAAAGAGAGAGAGAGAAAGAAAGAAGAGAGAGAAATGATTGTGATCTCTGCCCCACTGTGTATTCTCCTCAAAGTACAGGAGTTTCTCTGAAAAGAAGTTTATTTTCATTTTTGTCCATGAGTTTACTTAGGACATTAGACTTAACGTAATTAAAATAATATATAGTAACAGAAAAAAAAAGGTGATAATTTCCTAACACTAACTAAAATACTTTATTTAAAACCACAGGCTCTCTAAAGACAACAAGTAATGTATCCTTTGAAATTTTAAAATGGGGTAAAAGCAACTGCAGTTGCAAAACCTGGCAGACTTGGTTCATTTGGGTACCTTCTCACTATCTCGCACTCTACACCAGCAACACCAACCTGTTCAACCTCTAGCATGTGATTTTTCTTCCATAATTTTAAATAAAGCAGAGCACTGGCTGAGCTATTTGTGACCAGTATGAAACATGCAGGTTCTTAAGGTTTGAAAGGAGAGACATTTAATGACAGCTATATTTTTCTTTTAATTTCATTTTGTCATTTCATTTTACCTGTGAAAAAAAGAAATGGAAGGAGAAAAATGAGATCAAAAGTGGACGGTGTAGTTAAGCTTCATTCCTCTCTCAGTGAAAGTACTTGGCTTTGTTCTTAGTAAGGATAACAATCACTGAAGCCCACAGAAATTGCAACCAAGAACAATTTGATTGAAATTTGATTTCCCTCCCTTTTAAATATTTCATCCTTTCTGCTAATGGTTTAATCTAGCCTATGCAGCCAGTAGCAGTAATGATCAGCAGAAATGCTCAGAGAAAACACCAAAACATTATTCAGTGCAAATCACAATCCTTCCTACAACAGCAATAGCACTCTCCTGATAAACAGCAGCTGAGGAGTCAGAACCTTTACTTGTCCATTCAGCATTCATGACACCTGAACACACAACAGGCTATTCTGATCACAGAGGTTAATCTCTTTGCATTCAGTCACCAGCTACTTTACAGAGACAATATAATGCTTTATCTGTTCTGTCTTCTTTTTATCATAAAACACCCCATACGGAGGACCAAAATTCATTTGGCTGTCAGGAGGAAGTAAGGAAGCTCTGTTTGATTTTGTAAGCAACTAAAACTTGTCTCCTGTTTCTAAAGCAAGCAGCACAGTCTAATAGTGGTCTGTACTTAGCTGCATTACAAGACATGCAATACTAATAATAGCAATACTTGTCTTTAAATTCTATTTAAGCAAAGGCACAGAGTAGAAAGGAATAAAAAGACTATTCATTTGAGTTGACAATGCACTGAGCCTTAATATTGGTGCAGTTACAATTTCATTTTGTACACAGCCATATTAACAAACAAGATGCTGGTCAGAGAGTGGAAGGTAACAAGTTAGGATTCTGCCTCAAAATTTTAATGAAAAATAAATTTCATTGAGCAGCATTAGGGGTGTATTTCTCCCCTAGCATCTGCATTCAAATAGTATTTTTTTTTTTTTTGGTTTGGTTTTTAATCTGCACAAACCTTTTAGTGACTAGTATACTTGTAAAATCCTTCTAAATATGAACAGCAGAGTACCTGAAACATTAGAAAGTATGATTTTACTGGTCTTTTCTTTGTTAATTTTCTTTAAAGATAAAGATAAGACAAAACTCAAGCTCAAAATACACCATTCCCAGCAGTTTCCTTTGTATCTATGGATCAGACAAGATCTTACAATCTCCCTTTTGTTCTTTACAGTGAGGCCTCGCTGGTACTGAGCATCTCATAAATCACCAGCTGTCAGTCTGAACCTTCCAGATTAATGTTCAGAGTTCTCACATTTGGAGTACCTCACTATAATCTAGCTGTTAGAACACTAAGCTATTAAATATTACAGTTGTAGGGAGAGTGAGGCTTTGGAAATAAAGAGCCTGGTTTGTTGTTAATTGCTATTAGTATATACAGTAACACCTATATGTCCCCAGTGAAACCACGTTCCTTGTCTCCTAGATTTTATATAACACAGAATGAGATGCAGTTTCTGTTGTCAGTACCCAAGAGGATACCAGAGAAATAGTATGGAAGTAAGGAGGTGTTGTTATACCATCTCTCTCTCTAGAAGAAAAACAAAACCTTAATTTATTCAGAGTACACAACAATTCCCAATCTAGGCTCAGAGAGATCTCAAATTCCCTGAACTAGACGCATGGGATCTAGACCTATGATCTAGACGCAAAATAACTCTTCCACTCAAAACACAGATGTGATAGTAAGAAATCCCAAGCAAAAGAAACCTTGAAATAAAATGTCTTGTGCCTTTAATAATCAGCACCTTCTAATTTTTCACAATTTAGTGGGGACTAGTGACAAACAGCAAAGGAACATTTGGAAGAATTTTTGTAACCAACTGCTCGGCTTTACAATTTTACTTTCCTAGTTTGCAAGCACATTTTCAAAGCTAATTTGAAATGTTAAAATTGTAAAAGTGTTTGCTTTTCTACAAAACACATTAACCCAAGCTGCATCAAGTGTGAGGCAACTTTACTTTTGGCATAAAATAAGCTTCCTTGTAGACATGTTCGGTCACTGGAAAATAAAAAGGACAAGACTGAGAAGTTAAGGGCCTGGTCAGCATAATTTTTTCACCTAGCATGCTCTAAATTCCCACTGTAGACACAACATAGAACAGAACATAAACCTTTCAAAGTATATAGTCATTATTTCCAGATAAACTTAGATGGCAAATAGAGAATGCTTGCTTCTTTTTCAGCATGTTCTTTTCTTTCTAAATTACAATGAGGAAATGCTGTCTGCTAAACTAAATTAAGCCTAATTCTATCATAAATTTGAAGCTGAAGAAAGGAAAAAAATTCATCTAGGACTATTGTTCTTTCCTGATCTTTTCTGTTTCAAAAATTTTTATTACTTCTTACGTTTTAATTCTCGAATCATAGATTAGTTTAAAGCTGATGTAAGCTCTTTAAAAAAATAATTGTATAAGCATGGGCTATATCTGGGGCATAGTCTTAATTCACTTTAAAGTTGGTTTTGCCAAGTCATCATTCTAATTGGTTTGTTAAATAACTGGAGGATTATAAAATCATACTGACTAACCTTTTCTTTTTCTACACAAACTGTTCTATTCCTTGGGAAAAAAAAAAATAAATAAACAGATTACTAAAAAAAAAGTCCAACTCCAAGCTTGAGTACAAACAGTTTCTCAACAACAAGCACCACCAACTGATACAACAAATACACTGACACAGAATCACGATCTCTCAGATGTTTCTTAAAATTTCCAGTGAAGCCTCTCTTTTTACAGGAGACAGGTAGGGGAAAAAATATGCAGAGCAGCTTTGGGAGTCAGCACTAACAATAATCGAGATGGTAGATATAAAAATATCTGCAGGATTTTTTTCTTATTGGTACATTCAATATTAAATTTCATTTATCCTCTAGGAGTTAATGGCACTGAGTACAACGGCTTGCATGTGTTCACCTGTCATGTTTCTACGTTCCAAACGTGACATGTTAGTTGGAGTTATTAGGCAGCTGCCTGCATTCAATGCAATTTTTAACTCCATCTTTCTTAGCTTGGATATAAAACATGCACAATCTATACTTCATTTGCATGATGCAGTTAATATTTTTAAATGAAAACATCCCTCAATAGTGGAAAATCTCTTTTCTCCAAAGGTTGGAATTCATCTCAGTTATACAATAGAAAGCTACAACTGGTCTAATATTTTCTTCACTTGCTTTACTGTCAGCAAAGACAGGCACTTCTGGGACATGACTCACCTCACCTATCTTGAATTTCTGACTTCATCTAAATTAAGGAAGCCAGACCCTAGAAGTGCCTGTCTTTCTCCAAAGACTAAAATAAGGAGCCCAAAATGACAACTGAGCTGCAGGTGTCTACTGTAAGCCTTCACACTTGTAAAGACGAACCATGCCCTGACCCAGGCTCAGCTCTGTTCTCATGACTTCTGATTCTTACGGAGTTTTTGTCTTGGTGTACATAAGATGGAAAAGCATTTTTCCAATGAGATTTGCACTCTGAAGAGGGGAACTTTTAGCAAACACTTAGTGCCTTATCAGATACGACAAAAAATGGAACATGTATTAGTCTTTCAGAGACTTTACCTATTTTTATGAGGACCACTTGGGCAAAAGTCTTTAAGGAAATAATATCTTTGATTTTTTTTTTCTTTTCCCTAGTTACTTATTGGTTTCATGAGGCAGACAAATTGTTATCTCTACATTTAAGAACTAGAATAGAATGGATGCTACACAAGCTCAACCAGATAAACATGTACAGCAGAAATTTTGGAAAGATGATTTAAAAACAAAAAACAAAACAAAACAAAAAAAAAAAAACACAGATTTTTGATTTTTTAAAAAGAAAAATAACAACCAGAAAACTTGAAAGAAGAAAAACATAGAAAGGACATAAAGAACTCATTCAATATAGGTAGGTGGTAGGGTTTTTTGTTTGTTTTTGAACGTTTTCAGATATTTCCACCAACCTTTTCTACTTATTGGTGTCTTGACCTGCAACATTAAAAACTTTGGCAGTAGAGAGCACTGCAAGAGGAATATCATCTTTCTAATTGTTGCTGGTACTCTGTGTGCCACACTTCATGAAGAATCTCATCCAGATGAAATACTGTTGCCATAGTCAATGACAAAATAACCCACCGCTCTTTCAATTGAAATTTGGCTGGAATAGTAGCAGAGAAGAGCAGAGTGCCAAGGCATATTTTTGTTTTGCTAAGTGAATGGATGCTCCATCATTTCAGCTTGAACCCATATGTCGCTCATGCCAAGAGATATCAGAAACACGTTTTCTTCTGAAGAAAGAACACAATGAACCAATTAATCAAACCTTAAAACTGTGAAGAAAATTATTACAGCCATTTGTTAAAATACAAAAGGGCATTAACAAAACAAATAGTTCTAGTGATATTTGCTATGGTTAATGCAATGATATTTTCAATGTCCCATGTTTGCAGAAAATTGGCATCTTCTTCTTTCCGGGATTCTAATGTTTCTGAATACAAGTTTCTCAGTACTCTTCCCTAATTCACTAAAAAATGAAGAGCCTCATTCTGCATAAATAAGAATAAGACTATTGAAATACATATGTTTGAATCTGCACTGTCTCAAATCTTTTTTAAAACCATGCAAAAGCATTAATAAACTCTCCTACTTATAATTTTACATGATAGAAAAAGTAAGGCTAATCACACACAACCTCAACCAGAAGTTCCTAATCTATTTGAAGCTGATTGTCTAAGCTCTCATTGTCAAAAGAAACAGGTACTACCAAAAGGGTGGCAAATCCTATGATGTTTGATTGTCCAGAGCAAGTGGAATGAACTGAAAGCTCACTTCATCTACATATCTAATTTTTAGATGTGCTAAATTGGGTACATAAATTATACAACAGAGCAGGAAATGCAGAATCAGTCCTAAGAGGTACATCAACTGAAAAATGTGTCCCAATTCGGACATCAAGACTAGATGACGCTGCGAAGATGGAAAGAAGCAGACGATAGAGCTTCAGAACAATAAAGCGCTTTCTCCCTCAAGTGATCAGAGTTCACATTTTACCAGTCAGTACAGGTGGAGTATCTGCATCTACTCGAAACAGCTTTTTGGAAGTAGAAATACATGTAACTCTACATTTTTTTATATTATTCTTTTACTCATAATCATCTAAGTACATAGACAAAGCAATGACATAATATCTCTCATTAGAACAACTAGTAAATCCGATTGTGTTTATCTGTATATCTAATTTTGATTACACCAATAAGTGAACCTCATGACAGTACATTCATTTCTGACATACAACTGTATGACTAGACCTTTTCCTCCAGCAACAAAAGCTCTAGAACATCTTCAATAATTTTGCAATCCTTTTCATTGTCATTTTAATTTTTCCTTTAGTTTTTCAACAGAAAATACACTTGATATCCTTCTTCAAATTCAAGGTTCAAGATTCTGTACCAAACTCAGAAGCCACCATCAAAATTCAGCAATTGTTATTATAGAATAATTAATCTGTAATCTGTATTAATTCTGTAAAATCCTGTAATATACAATACATTACCTATTCAGGACTGCAGCCCCAGTACCCATTTATCCAATGGCACAAATAGCACATGAACAAAAAACAAAGTTGGAAACAGAAAGGCAGTAACACATGTAGAGCTGGAGTTTGTTACCAGTGATAAAGCAACATTCTATCTCATGAAAATCAGATGAAGCTGGATGCCAAGGCAGTCCAGTGTGCTACTTCACTCAACATGCAGTAGCTGGTTCCTGACCTTTTGAATTTTAAATGGGGAACATACAGCAGAGTTGATGAAGCATACTGCTGGCAAGACTATGCAGGAAAGCCCTATTAAAATAAATTAACATTAGCCTAAAAGGGTCCATCTGAAACACTTCACATCTTAATTGTGAAGATCTACCAGTTCCAAACACTAATTCTGTTCTGAGTTACTTATTGGTGACTAGATTAAATTAGTCTTCAAATTTCATGGAAATACATAACAAAAGTCAAAATTATGATGACCACGTGATTGTGATACTCCATTCTCTCTGCTTTAGGACAGAGTTCCTGAGATAGGGAAGTGTTTTTGTGTGATGGTGAGTTAGAATGTTACCACCAGCTGACAGGCTTAATACAAAATCACAGTACGAAAGGCAAGTTCAATGACTTAAACAAACAAAAGCAATAGAGAACAATTTTTTGTTCTGCCTTGAACTAGGCAAAAGTGTACAGCTTAAGTCTTGCACTGATACCATGATGTACTGTGGATAAGGGGGCAGGATCCCACAACCTATAGAAACACGCAGTAATCTTTCTATGGTATATGAAGCCAAAGCACCTGAACAGTGTAAAAATACTAGAGGCCATCATGAAGGCTGAAAAAAAAATCACTGAAAGGCGTGTCCTCGTTTCATCTTACAATCCAGGTTTCAACAGTCTCCCCAGAAAGTCCTCCCTAAGAATATCAATACAGTTACTTTAGAAAACCAAGGACAAACCCATGGAAATTGATGTAACTTGCCACCAAATTTGACCGTGAGGAGTGGCGGATGCTCTAGTAGTGTACCTCCCTCCACTGAGATGAATAAACTATACTCCTTTGAAGTATGTCTGCTGGTGTAAAACCAACCTTTACTGTGTTAAGTCACTACAATGCAAAAGAGCAGGCAAATTCCAGCTGATTTCTTTTGGTTGTCTTGAGACCAGTAGGCAAAACAGCCTTTGAATATGGTCTATAGGAAAGGTGGCTTGTGCTCAGCTGCACAGTGTGTCCATTAGTGTGAAAAGGCATTATCCCTGCACTTACAGGGAGGACATCAGGAATAATTAAGATGGTATCTCATAAAAGTTAGAGACAAAGCTTTCTGGCAGCAAGCAGGAATAAATATCAGGCAATTACATCTTTTGACAGATGTTTATAATTTAGTCCCAAAAATTGTCTGAATGGAGTAATTTTGACATGTATATGTGACTAAACTTATCCATTGTAACAATTACATGATTTAGAATTAAAAAATAAAAATAAAAATAAAAATAAAAAAGCCCAGCCTGACATGCTTCATGTGGTATATTTTAAAGCCCCTATTCACTCAAAAATCTATCAAAAATCCTGAATAAAAAGCTACCAAAATGCACTTTGCTTTTGTGACACATTGTTGGACCTGATCAAAATCCAGCCATGACATTCAAAAAGATTTAACTACAAGCAGGCAGGCTAAACTGCAGTTATAACAGCCTTCAGGATCTCTCAGTCAGACAGGAAAGATATCTAGTCCCACTCATTGTGAAATAATATTTATTTCCTGAATCAACATAATCCCCCTCATTAAAATGGATCAACTATGATACTCTTAACCAGCACTTCTACTGCTCTCTGCAGTCTTTGGAGTACCCATGAGACCTCAATACAGGACTCATAAAATGCACCATTAAAAAAGTAAAAAGAAAAATAAAGAAGTCATGTACCTGGACCACACAGGTGCCCAGTCTCCAAAAGCAGGTATAGCCACAACACCCCTCCCCACCCTCTTAGTGCATGGCCCACAAATAATGAAGGCAATGTAGAGTTTCCTTCACTTCATATTAAACATGTTAAATACAATTTAAGTATCAGAAAATTCTGAGTTCATGAGTTCAAATCTTGCCCATGATCAAATAGCTTCTCTTTTGAATGAGGACTACAATGTCTCTGCTGTTATATGCTTCTTATAGTGCGAACCCCAAGAAAGACAAACTGTAATGTCCTCTGTTATCAGATTTTTTAAATGATTTTTTGTTTCCTAACTATAATAGAACTTCACTCAGTTTGTACAGAAGTCAGTCATTTCATTGACTTTTTTGGGCTTTAAATTGGAACACTGCTGAATAATTCTATTTTCATCAAAAGAAAACCTTCTACATAGATGTAGAATAAAAGATAAAACTGCAATGCGCTGTTTAATGAACAGAAGATTATTGCTTATTCTCAGGATAGGCCAAAAAAAAAAAGTATGTCACATCCATAAATCAACAACCAAAATTCCTACTGTGAAAAATTTACAGTGAGGCTAAATCAGATATTTGGTTTTGACAGTTCTTCACTTTCTAAACCTCAACTTTTCTAAACCTTGACTATGACTTTGGACAGGAAAATTAAATGTACTTTTCCTTACTAACTTTCATATTGACACCTAGTTACCTGAGAATTCTGAAATCTTATTACTGTTCACCAGAACAGTAATAGGATGAGTGGTTGAAGTAGGGCCAAATTTTCCACTAGCTTTAATGACCTAGAAATCTGAACCTGTCATTTCTTAAGTTCATCTAAAGCTTTTAGGGAAAGTTGCTGTCATTTTAGCAAGCATTGTCTCCCCAAGGACTGTAATGTCAAAGCTTGAGGCTTCAGCCTTAGAAAGCAGCAAGCTAACTACTTCTAACTGGGACCAGACAAGACAAGAGAAGGCAGCCTTGGTGTTTGACCTGCTGCAGTTTGCATACGTACATGTATAACATATGGTAGGATAACGTGACTACATATTATTTCATCTTTCAGTTAATCTAAATAAAATTGAAAGCAAAAGCCTTTTAATCCATTGTGTGCATTGTCTAAAAACAATGATTGATGTTTTGAGGTACTTTGTCACTGTCAGTGCTCAGAGCATTAAACACCTGGAACTTCTGGAACAGGTGAAAACATCCAGCTTGATAGGTTTTCTTTTCCAGTGATAGAAAAATGTTTGAAAATGAGCAGAAACCCAGTGAAGGATTACATTAACATGTAATTCATTACATTAGCTTATTAAGCTTTGCTTTATCCTGGATTCTTTTATTCCAAAATTCCCATGTACAGGCTTCGATCAACACAAAAAGCCATATTTGTGCTAATTTCATCAACAATGAGAGCTGTTCCTCTTTCCATTTTCCTCTCTCCCAGAAGTTGCAAGATAAAGTTGAAATGAACTAAAAACATACATGCTGTTAAAGCAAGTACAGGAAAGTTCACAGAACACTACAGATTAATTTCATTTACATTTTATCACAACATTTTTGTTTGAAAACGGAATTAGAAGCCCTTCCATATCCTATAGAATCACAGGATATCTTGAGTTGGAAGGCACATGCAAGAATCAAGTCCAACTCATGGTCCTACACAAGACCACCTAAAAATTAACACAAGTCTAAGACCACTGTCCAAATGCTTCTTGAACCCCAGCTGGCTTGGTGCTGTGACCACTTCCCTGGAGAGCCTGTTCCAGAGCCTGACCACCCTCTGGGTGAAGAACCTTTTACTAATATCCAATATGAATTTCC